AAACCGGATAGCTTCGTCTTTACCCCCGTTGTAACAGTGGTAACAGTAATTTTTCAAACAAAATCCTTTCAGTGCCCACAACAAATCACCGGACGTATCATCGTCGCGCAACGTAACAAATTAAATTGATAAAAATTACGATCTCCTTTTCGTATTTAAATAACAATCGTGGACGCTTCAATTATACCGCTGCTGCCGAATTATAAATAAATATAGCCCTCTATTTATCTCGTCATCGCGTACCCAGTTCCCGAACGTAACCTGTCAAAGCGATTTGAAAAAGGAACGATTGTGTCCTCGGGGCGCGTTCGCACGCCCACTTGAAAGACGAGTGACGTCGGCGGATGTGACGTAAGAAGCCGCTGAGTGAATGGAGGACGCATGCAAGGACGTGCATACGTCTTACGTCTGTAGGGTTTCCACGTTGGTTTGCAGTCGAATTACGCAGTAAATTCTAAATCTATGAACATGGTGCAATAAGATAGATTTATATTTGGATTTAGTTTGCATAATCGTTATCCTAGTGTTTTATTACTGCGCTGGTTTTCATAAATGTTATAACTTTTCATCTACCAAATTTAAACTTAAGTCATAGATATGATTTATGTAAGTAACAAAAATCGTAACTTTATATGATTATTTTTATTTAAACGTATTTATGTAAAAATATTTACGTGTAAAACTCTACCAACCCCGTCTTGCAGAATATCTCCCATGGAATTATTTATTTAGCTACATTTGCGCGCGTGGGACAATCCTAGAATATAATGACGGGTGGCGCTTGGAGGCATGAATGAACTTACGCTTACGCCGCGTAGAGATCCGGCTTTGACGACGGACACGCCATTGCCGCGCGTACCTTTAATAATGTCTTCTTCTTCTTCTTAATAATGGCTTGCTTTTTAATAATGTCATCAGGATGGATAAATTAAAACTCGCCGTCGAAACTAGCGCCTAATGACAGCGTTCGCTGTCAAAGCCTTCACAAAGTTACGCGCCATCGCTCCGAAAATAGCGCGAAAAGCGACGCGTCACAATCGAAAATTTTAATTTCGGAACGAGTGCATTAGACTTCGGACAACACTTCACGTACGGTACTTTTGAGTAATCCAAGCTAAATCGAGCCTTATGTGAAGGCAATAAATGTTGTAATTTCTTTACGTGTTTTGACGAGCATCGGTATGGAGCGATATAGGGGACGAGGCAGGTGTGTTGCCAGATGTCTTGAACAAATTGCCACGCCATAAGGCACGGTGTGGACACACCCTTAGCTTCATTGGGCGTTTGGCGTGTGCCAAGCTTTAATTTTATGCTTGATTACTGGTGTTCGGGGATCGCTAATTAATGGTCACGATATGAATATGCAGTGTGATAGTTGAATCGTGCCTTTATTGAATTTTTGCTTACAAGTTTATCCGATAATTTAGATATAGTATGGAATGAACTCTACACAGAGAAATTAATCTGTTTACTTACAAAATACTGAAGGAATAAGCTAATATTTATCGTTGAAACCGGTTTATATTTAACCGTCGCAAAAAAATTAGTCATACTATATATGAAAAAAACGGTTTAACCTTAGAAACTAGAAAATGTTACATTATAGAAAAGAAAACTTAACTACTAGTTTCATTGACTAACAACAGCATAATTCCTTACGTTCGAATATTACAGCATCCGTAAAAAGAAAAAAAAATGGCTATTCCTTTATCCTATTTCCATCCGCATTGTCTTTGGCAGTACTGTCCAGTTCACAGGTAATCAAAGGTTGGATAGAGCCTATCTCTCCGGCGTTTTTGATTTGCGTCCTTTGCCCGGCTTTTTCCTTTCTTGTTTCATATCTCGATAATTGGTTTTCGTTTTATTGCGCAGACGATGTTTTAAAATGATTTTCATGTTTCGTGTGTTTTTTTATGTTCAATAAGTATTGGGACAACATTATAAGGCATTGCAAAATATACCTCGTTTGTCCGTATTTGTTTTTAAATTAAAAAAATAGCTTCATTTAAAAATCGGAAAATCAATCTAATTATAAAGACCATCCAGACATATAAAATATAACAAAAAAAATTGTACGCAATTGGAAGATTTAATAAAAAGTAGGGATAATATTATAATAATAACTCGCACTGATATCTGGAGAACGCGTTCCAAATTCAAAATTAACCGCCAAAGCCGACGCGGCGCGCGTCGCCCCACGCGCACGCGCAGTAGATGCAACCCCCGCGAAAGGTGCGCGCAGTAACATGGGGTCCACCCCTATTATCTTTAACATTTTGAAGTCTGTTTGCAAGATAAAGGAAAGGGGGAACCGGGGGGTGATTTTCTTTATTCTTCACCCGGATTTATTATTATTTTTTAGATATTATTACTGTGATTGTCGGCGCGGCGCGTGCGCATGTGTCCCTAAGAGCGGCCCCTCTATATAGAAATGAGCTGAACGTAACGTAATGCTCTTACTTGTTTTGTATTTATTTTTACCCATTGTTCGAGGATTATTGAAAGTTACATTAGTGGTTCCTTATGTGAGATGCATTATTATTATATTTAGCCATAACGCCGAATAGATATTTCAAACGATTTTTATAAATGGGTTGCAAATTTGGTATGTGCTCTTATAAATCTAGTTATTACAATAATGTCAATCATAAATAATAAAGAAAAGAAAACAAAAGTTTTACCAATTAATATTGAAAAAATTCTATTTCTATAATAATTATAATACCATAGACAGTAAAAAAAATGATACTTTCGACAATGGAAGAGGCACGGCACCTTACGCTTTACAAGTTTTATATGCGGAAGATTTTACACTTCTAACCTCGTAATAGAGTCTAAAATATATTACATTCGGTCGAGGTTGTAAGTCGCTTACCGTCTTGTAGTATTGTGCGTACGCTATTTTAAACTTTATTACTGCAAACTTAAAGACGAAAGATCGTTTCAAACACTTAGCAAGGCACGTGTTTCAAGATTGTATCGTTACACATGCTGTTTGATCCGGCGATTTAATGTGCTGTGTGGTCGTATCGGGTATCAAGAAAGCGAGCACCGTGGCGCCGGAGACAAACTTACGCCAGGTGTCGATGTGTAGTCTGTGGTCCGTAAAAAACGTCATTCCTCTTCCGTATGGAGCATTGTTATTTTTTAATTTCGAATCGTAGCGTTACAGTAAACAGAAGATTTTTTATTGTTTATGCTTTTCTGTCCAAATTAGTTATAGTACAAATTGCCTATGAGTTAAAGGCCTGATAATTTGAGTACAAAAATTGAAAATGCTGCAATTTTACATCAATCTCATGACAAACTTTTCGTCATGGTTATATATATTATAGTTCAGAAACGTTATGTATTCTTAATATAAAAAAATATTACTTTTTTTAATTTGTTTAAATCGTAAATAGACAATTTGAGTCGGATATCGATATTGTAGAGCGGATCTCGATTCTATCGATTCGAGTTTTAGTGCAGATTGAGAACGCGTTGTTACACGAGGACAATGCTTGCTTGCGCCCCTCACTTGCCACCTTTGACCCTGCGCCGGCGCAGCTGCAGCCAAAGATCGCTACCGTAGGGGTGGGCGCCGATCGATAAAGTTCGCTTGCCGACGCTATCTTACTAATAATAAAACTTTCAGAACTGCGTTACAAGAACATCACTTCACGTTTTGCGATCTGTTCGTTGCAATATAAATACAAATATTTGAACGCAGTCCCTGGTTTTTTTGGACGAGTATTGTTCAATCTTAGATTTGAAATAAATATTTTGAATTAAACTTTAAGACTTTTAAGTGTTGGCAGGTTGTCTATGTTTTTTGAGTATATAATGTTAGTTTACATCGTGGGTGATACTATCAACATGTGCATGTTATTTGGAACATAAAGGTGTAAATAATTGTAAAATTTATAAAATTATTTTTAATAAATTACATAACTAATGATTATTAACAATGTGTAATAATTCTCTGACTGTATTAACGCAAACATTTGTTTTTAAGACTGAAGATACAACTTAGTATAAAACTTTGTTTTGGTATATAAAATAAAATAGGTTAGGACTGTATGTTAATGTAGTAATATAGTAGCATATTTATCATACTAAACAGCAAGGGAAACAAAATTAATTAACTTCGCATCTAAAATGTCCGAATGGGAACCGAACACGATTTCGAAATACAACAAAAAATAGATCATTCATCAATTCATCATACGCGAAACATCTTTTGGCAATATCGGTAACCCGCAGATGCGTTTCGCAGCCTCTCAACCGCAAACAGTATTTGGAGCATCTTTTCATTATTATCATCAAACACGGGGTCGATTTGGAATTCAATCAATTAGTATTCAAACCTATTTTTGGCACATCTGGTGCGGGTGCAAGAATAGAGGATTGAATGCTTAACTATTTAATGTGCTTATATATAATCTGTGCTCTTTCATAAGGAAGTGAAGAACGAAGTTATCATATGAAATTTTCATAGAATATTAATAAGCATTGTATATATAAAGAAGTTGCTGTAAAAAACTTGATAATGAAAAGTGAAGAGAAACAGAACAATAAATAGACATCTTTTAACACCTTTCGTCCCAAAACGTATGTACTCTGAATAAAAATAAACACATAAATTTATAGAGAAAAAATAATTTAAAGAACCCTTTAGTGTTCATGGTCACGGGACAGACTGTAAAATAGTAGACATTTAACCACTGGTGAAACATTTAAATGTAGAAGCAGTATCCAAATTCTAATTATTTCCCATTACATTATATATATAATAACAAAAAACATTTGATAATCGAACCGATCATGTGTGAACAAACGTCGCTAAATTAGTCGCTTGGCGAATGCGTTTGGACGCAGTCCAAATATTTTCTTATTTACATTAAAAAAAAAACAAAATCATTTGAAAATCGAATCGAACCATGCATCGTATGCATGATTAGACGATTGGCGACACGTTTGAATTGGGAAGCAGCCGCGGGTTACCCGATCTGTTGTTACTTCCCCAGGTGGTAAGGCTGAACGTCTCTTATACCGGGATCGCTCGACAATGCCCCGCTCCTGGCCACGCGACATATCGCCCCGGAGTAGAGGCAAAGGTGCACGCCGACCCCTTTCTCCTCTCCTATTATTACACGTCACAATCGATGAATCGCCCGTACGCGTTTAACGCGGGCCCTCCGCAATCGATTCTTTTAATAAAGCGCCCTAATAACTCGGCTCACTTCTTACTGGTCGCAAAAAGCTTTAAAATATGTAAGAGCATTATAAATGATTTTTTAATATAGTTTTATCGTTCTTACTGGCAGATAATTTAATAGATGATATTTTACAATCGTTTGTTCGTCTTTCTTTCTTGATGCGAGTTAAGGAATCAGTACGGTTTTTCACACGGATACATTTTCGAGGAAATCTAAATACATGTAATGCCAATGGATTTTTTTATTGAATACCTCCTCTTCGTTAAAAACTAAAAGATAGGGTAAAGACAGTCATAATTTATTTATCATAAAGTTGCCAATGATTACTAATATCATCTGTTAGAAAGTGTTTCTGTTTTTTTTATGTGAGAAGGTGGTAAGCGAGCTGCGTGGCGGTTCACCTGATGTTAAGTGATAACCACCGCGCATGGACATCTGCAACACCCGTAGGCGTTGCAGACGTGCTGCCACCCATCAATAAATTGGGCTCCGGTTTCCTCACTCACCAGACGAAACGCCGAAGTACAACTGTGCATCAGTGAAGGCTGTTGCGTGGCTGTACCACTGTCCCTTTTACACATGCTTACAAAACGAAAGAGACATCATCATCAAGATCATCCTCGAGTAAAAAAGACTGCTCCTGCCCGTACGTATAACGGACCTCGTTAATATTTAATTAATAATTTTTATTTCCACGAAACCAATCGCGAAGAGATCGAAGGAGTTGCATCGCGTAGACACATTCGAAAAGAGCCATAATCAGACACATAGAAAGCTGACGCGCCCAATTCCTCGCGGTCCATAATCGTCGGTTGGCAAAAAATCATAGCATGCGGGCTCTTAGAGAACCCTGCCTCGCAAGGTGCTAACAACAAAGGGTGTTCTACTCCAGCGAAAGGTGCGATCGGTGAAATAGGTCATCTTGAGATTTTTTTTCTGTACATCGCTTCTGTCATATCGCACAAATGTTTATTATCAATGCAGAATTTACCTGGTGCATCGCACATGGCACAAACTGTCACTGGGTAAGGTCGATTAGCGTTTGATCGGACCGATGTTATGACGAAAGTTTTTGTATACATGTGTTTTGTTCACGCCGTAAATCGGTACAGATTCGCGCGAGATGCAGAACGGACTAACACTATTGAAAATTGGTTACAGTCTTGGCCGCTAGTTTGTAAGACAATAGTTTTTTAAAGGTTATGTCTTATTCAGGAGTTTCGGACACGGAAATAAATATATAGTGAAAACGTATGAGTGTTTTATAAATACCCATTATCGATATGTAACTTACTAAAGTACATACCGCGTACGGGTGTCGTGAAGATATAATGTATTGAAGTTTTACCTGATGATGTCTAGGAGTGGACACTGCCATCCTGGGCGAAGAGTATCTCTTGGCCACGAGTACCAGATCAATAGTAACATAACTATATATAATATAATAAAAAAAGTTAAAGTAAAGTAACGTAACAGTCTATACAAGTGCCATTGCAAGGCAAAGTTCTCCTCTGCATAGAGGGTAGTAGGGCACAGTCCACCACGCGATCCCACTGCCGATTGGCAGACTTCAAATAAATTAACTTCGAAATATTGTTTTTGTTATTAATTCGAAAATATGCGGGTTTGGTAAGATGTTTTCCTTCAACATTTAATGTGTTGCTAAATAAACTGTCTTGGGTGAATGCTGCTTGCGTTTCGCGGTGGTTAATTGTCACCCCAGTTTTGGAGTTTCACACAATTTGTGTCAGTGTGCCGCGATTTGCACGCCATAATCGGCGGCGTGCTCGCGTTGTTCATCCTTTGGCCGACTAGCGTCCTTATACCAACGGAATATGCACTAGAATGGTGTGCGAATAGATAATTTCCAGCGCCAAATCGTCTGTACGGGTGGTTACCGAATTTCGAAATAAACCCCCTCGATATGCGAAGTTTCGACGGGTCCGAATAAAGTGGTGTTTAACGATAACGTTTCGAGATCGATTTCCGCCTCTAAGACGAGGGTGTTAAGGTCTAGATCCGGGCTGAGGCAGATCTGGGGATCAGAGGGGGGATCATAGTCCCCGCTTCGGTTCCGATACATCGCCATATGTTTGCACAGTCTTGAGGGTCGAAACCGAGAGACGCGTGACATTTGGTGTTACCCTTAATCAGCACTTGAAGGTTTTTTAATGGGACAATTTAAATGTCACGTATGAATAATTTTCGCTATTGTGAAACACGTCAGTTGAAAACGTTTATGATACTGAACATTTGTAACTATCTTCAATGAATAGAATAACATGATTGGTTTCAGAAACTTAAATCTGGTACCCAAATACAAGTCGCAAAGTTTTAGTCCCGTATATGGATAAAACCAACAACGCAGCAATTACAGTTGACAAGGTGACTCCTAAACCATCTGTTAGGCCAGTAGCTACTAATTTTATGAAACTAACATCTTTAACTAATACGCTAAATTAGCTTCGGCATTTAAAAAGTTTAGTTCGCTGTTTAAGATGATGTCATCCTTTATTTTTTAATATCACGTCCAAGAAGGGGGTTATTCCATTAAAAAAAATGTCTATGATAACTTACTGGGAAAACTCGGCAACAAGTTGTATCCAATGTTGTTAATTTAATTTAATTTCCTACAAACACGACAGCAAACTTTTTGATAGCTGTTATATAAAAAATAATAGAAAATGAAAGTCTCTAATCTCTGCTGCCACCCTCAATGTTAATTTATAAGTTTAATTGTAAGCTATATATAGTAAAGAATATTTTATTCATTATTGTTATTAAAAATAAATTTGTTCATGTAGTTTCATAACCTTGAAGCAGCTCCTATAAATGCAAGAAGCTTCTAAGATGCTGTATATATTCTTCAGTATAAGTTAAAAATATTATAAAACCGGGTGCGGAAATTCATTCCTGCATCCTTATTAAAACAGGTTAAGAAGCGAACGACGTTACAGCCCGACAGAACCGAAAGCGACCAATAAAATAACACAAATCACTGTGCCCCTTTCAATTAAGCCGCATACACTCAATAGGCTGTGGTCCAAACGAAAGCTTCGGGCCACGGCGGTAGCGGTGAAAATATTAATACAAAACGATATTCCATTTTAATTTATGTAAAATATGTACCTACAAATATATATTTATCTAACGTTTACAATATTAAATCTAACTAAAACTTTCTGTTAATTTATACGTAAAATTTATAAAAATTAAGTAACACGATATTTAATTATGTATTAAGTCTTCTTGTACCTTGTATTAACTGATGTTTTTGCTTTCAGTCCCGAGACTATTAAAGCTTCATCTGACGCAGAACCGGTGGGTTATATGAATTTATAAGTATTAATATGAATGTGGACTCGTATACGTGGTTGCATAGTATTGTTTTACAAACGGTCCTATATTGTTTTATAAACGGTTTGTAAGTGCAATTATAGTGTTTGAGACCTACATAATTTTAAAACAAACCGAGGGCCATGCAACAGTGCCCGCTGTCGCACGAGCAGTTCGGGGAAATATCACGACCTCACAGAAGATCGGCGTGAAGTAGTAGTATTACACTTCTGCGTTTCGTCTGGTTAGTGAGATAGCCTGGTGTGAACATCTGCAACCCTACGGGTGTTTCAAATGTCCGTAATCTACAGTTATAACTTACCATCAGGTGAACCGCCAAGTCGTTTGGCACCTCAAATTAAAAAAAACCTTAGTAAGCATTTAACATATACGTTGTTTAATGTCCATCATGTAGCAAGGTGTAGGGTGTTCGATACGTCCATTATTTAAAAACAAATACTTTGTGATAGAATCAGTGAATCAATAATAACAATGCGTAAAATTTTACTGTTGACGTTTTTCTTTTCTTGCTTTTGATTTGCTTTTAACAATTTTCTATTGATTATAATATCTATAAAAATATATATTTACGTACTGTTAAACTTCACGTAAGCCATAACAGTCATACAAGTGATTAATTCGACCTAACTCCTTGAGCTCAGCAACTAAGTATTAATTGATGGCTTTAACTTCTTAGTTGCACCATTCTTTATGTTCTTCGTATTTAATTTTATCTATTGCAAATTGTTAATTATTTTATTCATTCCTTATTCGATTATATAAAATAATTAATCGGAGTAAAAACTGCGTGCACGCTTGCCTCTCGTAACTTGCGCCACTGGCGCGCGCAAGACAGGAAGCGGTAAGTGCGCGAGTCGCTCACAAAAGAGATGAGCGGAAAACATATAATTACGCTATCGCATAACATCCGCGAGTAGATATGTCGCGATACGCGAACGAAGGAAAACCGCACAAGTGCCTGCACTTGTTGTTTCCTTTACGGATTCAATGGGGGCGTGTTTTAACGGAGTGCGTTAGGGTTTGTCATTGTGTTCGTGTTTTTGTTTGTTTGTATCGATGTCACGTATTGACGTACGACAGTCAAGCAATGAAAACAATTTTGATATAAGTTCTCGATCGTTTTAATTGTTCTATACTAAAAATGGGCTATAGTGGACTAAACTTATTGCAATATGGTTTTAGCAGGAAACATCTTTCATAATAACATTGTTTTGATCAATCTTACTTTATGAGATACAGTGGCAAGCGATTTAGGTGACAGTACAGCTGTCATGCACTGGGCAGTTCCTTATAAAAAATAGGTTCAAGATTTTAAGATATTACTGCCGTCTACGAGCATACACAACGAGACAAGTTGTCGACAAGTTGCCGTTGACGACCTTCAGAATGGTAGATTATGGTTAACTCAGACATGAAATTACACCCAAGGAAAGTGGGAATCCTCGTCTCTCCTTGTGGGTAACGGGCGTGAGTTAACTTGTGCATATAACGTTGTTTCAGCGTTTATGATTATTTTTTATGTGAAAAGTTGACAAGCGAGCAGGTGGTTCACTTGATGTTAAGTGAGTATCGCCGCCCATGGTCTGTTACACCCAAGGGTTACAGATGCGTTGACAACCTTTTGAAAATTGGGCTCCGGCCACCTCATTCACCAGACGAAACGCGAAAGTATTTGTCATACTTCCACTTTACGCCGGTCTTCTGTGAGGTCGTGCTACTTACCCGGACGAGCCTGCCCATTCGTGCAACAGTCTAGGCTGTTGCGTGGCCCTGCCACAGCTTCCCGGTGATACTTAGACGCGTGCGGTATTGTTGTATTGAAATCCGTACTATCTATGGCTGCATCAACCGTTGACATTCGGTGTGATCTTAATCGACAACTAATCATTAAACATATCGATTTATTTAGATATTCATGTCGGCATGCGCTATTTGATAACTAAAACGATTACGAACTGTTACAAAGCCTTTCGAGTTGAACTTCGCTAAGTCAACACACGTTGTAAACATTTCTCAAAGCCCGTACAATTTTATAACACCGTTTCAGAGTCGATGTGTGTTTTTGTAAAAATGAAATCGACGTTTGTGTATTGTATTTTGTTTAATTTGTTCAGGCGTGAGTTACTTTGCCTAGTTTTCCTTGAAAAAAAAATACTGAACAACTGCGAACTCGCGGATTCATGTAATGTTAAACATCAAAGACTTCTACGTTTTTTAGATTTCTCACGAGAAAAACTCATAGTCTCTCTTACCACGGGAGACGGTGTTAAACCGGCACGTTGTCTCCGCCGTCGGCGACGCAAACAAAAATATGTATAACGAAAAAGTAGAAATACTTCTAATCTATACAGCTAATGAAAGTTGGAGTGTCTGTTCGGAATATTAATTTTGACGGGACGTTCACTGGCAGATAGCTGATGTAATAAAGAGTAACTAAGGCTATTTTTGTTTTAGAAATTTTATTTCATTTAAGTTCCACGCGGACGAAGTCACGGGTACAGCTAGTATGTACTATGCATATAAAACGGTCGGATCTTTCGAGCAAGAGACACTTCGTGACTCCAATAGGTACATATACTAAGTACATCGTATTACATCATCAGAAATTAACGAATCACAACATTAAGTGACGATAACCATCCGGGGGGCGCCTCGGTGCGTGACTTTCAACGGAAGTGGGACGGAATCGCTACCTGTTTCCGTTCACGCCCGCTTCCGCTCGCCGCTTAACGCTTACGCCTATCCGTTCGGCGATCTTGTTTTGCCAGCTATCAATTGTGTTATTGAATTATCGTTAACTCCACGGGGAACGGATTAAATAAATGGCAACATCTTTAGCGGTGATCTTCCAAACTGAGATAGTTTCATCTTGGATATTTTCTTTCGCTTTCTTCTGTATAAAGTTTCAGCGGTTAGAAGAAGGGTTACGAAGCCGTAGGCGTTTTTGCGGGCCATCACATCTAGTATTTTAAGCAATCTCTGCTTAGCGTCATTGAGTTATTCGAATTTCTAGACCACGCGTTGGCGGTAACATCGGGACTCGACCCGAGTGGAGCAAACAATGTAATGGATCAAAATAACCCGTGGGTTTACAATTGGTATTCCGACCATGAGCCGCGGTTACCTCACTAATCATGAATGCTTATAATTACTCTTGCAGATCGGCTATGGTACTCCCGCCTAGCCAATTACGCTCATACCAAAAAATCGATCTAATGCTAATGACACAAAACGCACGATTTTCGTGCGATCCACCGCGAAATTTCGCCTCCCATTATTCCCCCCCATTGGCGCAGCGCAAAAGGATAAGGCCGGTGCGCAGCGCACAATAAACTCAATCGCATCGCCACTCAGACGAAACAAAAAATCACGAGGCCCGGCAAACACACGTCGCGGAGCGTCGTCAAATCGGAAACAAAAGGTGGAAATATTGAATGAAACGAACAAAACCCGAAACATGCCTCGAAAGTGCATCGAGTATCTAAATTCGTGCATTCGTTTTGCCGCTAATATGGATATGAAAAAAAAAAGCAAACATCGAACGCAACTCGTTGCCTTGAACAAACGAATTGGCTGCAGCATTGGCGTGTCCTTTGCCCGGCGATTTTTTTTTCTTTTCTTGTAACCACCGTTGTTACATATGTGATCTGTATTTTTATTGTTTGCGAGTATTTTGTTATAACATGGACTTTTTGAAGGCTTCCGATTTTTTAATTTTCTTTACTGATTTTTTTTTTATTTCTATTTTACGGTTTCAAGCATCGTTCGGATCACTACTCTTCGTTAAACCATAGTGAAATTTTACTTTGTTCTTATTTGATATTGATTTTTTAATTAAATATATGTCAATCAAAGCTCTATAGATAAACGCATCTATCAATTCCGGTTACTCGAGCCCACTGTAGCCTTCAAAGCCAAAGCGATCGTTAAAGATGAAAATACCTTAAGCTTTAAATAATTTAGTTAAAAATCGTAACGTCACCTATTTTTCCATTTATTCGATTGGAATGTCTAAAAAAGAATTTGTTTTATTATTTACTTTTACCCGCGGCTTCCCTCGCGTTAAAGCCCTTAAATAACAATCTTTTTTTTTTTAATATTTTTTTAATAAAAATAATCCTATGTCCTTTTTAATACCTCTAAGAATATGTGTGCAAAGTTTCATGATAATTGGTTGAGTAGTTTTGGCGTGAAAGAGTTACAAACAAACCTACATTCACATTTATTATATTTTAAGTAGGGCTTAGTAATTGTGTTGATTCAATTTCAAGAAATTAAAAACAAAGCATTAGGTACGTTTCCATTATTATCTTATCTTATACCTACAACGTTTATCCATTAGCGTCTTATATAGCCAGGTTCTGAGGAAAGTAAAGAAGTTGTCCCGCGCGGGAATCGAGAGATCAAAATCATTGTACATTATGTATATCAAAAGCGGGGTAAGTAATAAAAAAAATAACACAAAACCTCCTTGTCGCGGCAATTCCGCGCCGCCGCGCCAAGAGAAAAACAAACCAGCGCGACGGAATCCTCAATTCTTGAAGCAGTCATTACATTTAATTAATAAAGTCGCTCCCGTCACGTGAGAGAGTAATTCTAAACCGAAATAGGTTAAACAAAGCGCTCCGCGCAGCAGAGACGGCCCTGGCGGCACAAGCCACCCGTGGTTGAGCCAACCGGCTAATACGGCCGCATCTGCACCGTAATGAGCCACTCAAGTACACCCCTAACTTGTTTACATTGTTTCTTTATTGTGTTTTTTACCCGGCTCTTTCTTTCCTGACGGTAACGAAATGATTTTTTTCCCCCGCAATAAAACGCGGCCTCGCGTCAGTCGGGCCTTTGTCTTTTACGCGATTTATTTTTAATTAGTCTAGGTCCGGATGAGCCCCGGTATCGCGTTGCCTGCTTTGATGCGCGCCTCGCGGTGACGTTACGCGACGTGTGCGCGAAGATGGCACGCTGCGTTTTTTTCTTCTTCTCCCCCACCACTCGCCTTTGAACGCATTCTTCGGGCGTTCCATTTTCGAAAACGCACCGGCTCCATTCGATCTTGGACGCGTCGCTTTGAATATGGAACGCTGAAAGCGAACGGATTACTAATCGCACGATCGGACTGCGGTGAAAAATAAAACAACAAAAAAAATAATAAAAAACAATAACAGCTATAACGCACTGCCAGCGTCCGTATTCACGCTCGTAAGGTACAGGCATCGAAACAATATAGCCGCACACGACCCAGCGAATAGTTTTCTTACAATAACATTTTTAATAAAGGCGGGCAATTACGAGCGCAACGTCACAATCCGCACGAGCTAAAGTTGGCCGGGCGGTACAGCTGGTAACAAAAGTGCTCGGCGGTACACTCGCCAACAAAGCGGCTAATCATTCCCATATGTGCGTGGCCCCGTTTTGCACATTGTCTGTACCCTGATTAAGAGGATTGTCTCCATCGTTCCTCGGATATTAAAAGCGTGTCTTCCCGATGCGCAAATAGGCCTAGGAATTGTTCGCGCAGATGCACAATTTGCACTAGATAATGCGAGTAAAATGCGCCTCTATAGGGAAACTTTCGCGGCGCGGTTTTGTTTCTATTATTGCGAGCCTTTTTTGTGTTCCGGCTTTGCGATTTTTTTTTATTTTCATGACGATCTTGTGATAATGCCTACGGTTACTGTTTAACGTCAGCGCTGGTTCGCTTTTCAGTTGTTGTTGGTTTTTTTTTTTACTTTAGATACACGAAGTAATTATTTTTACGCTCTACATGTTAGTAATCGCGGATCTATTGTCTGTCGGTACGTGCGTTTTATCAAGCTGATGTAAGGCAAGTTTGGTTAGTGCGGCACGCGGCGCTGCTACGGTCTGGATGCCAGCTAACTTGAGGATTAAGTTGTTGTTGCATTTTTTTTTGTGTTCCCGACCATGATTGCTCCGCGACGGGGTTGGAAGGAATGAGTATTTATCGAGGTTTTTCATTACAAATTTAAGTTATTACGAGACGATGGCCCCCGATCGGTTTTATGTGATGACGAAATGCAAATAGATATGCGAAACCTCGTTATTCTACTTCAATTTACTCAATATTTTGTTGCATCGAATGCACCTAAAAAGTGGTAACGTATGCCGAAATTTTGTCGACCTAAACATAAATAATACTTTTAAAATTATTTCAATATTTCTACATTTACAGGAAAATATTATATATTTCAAATATATAACAAAGTGGTAAACATAAGCGTTTTCGCTAGTACCAAGTTATAAGTTACTTAGAGAGCTTAGAGTTCACAAATTTAGTTAATATGTATGGGGCTTGGGTAAAACGTTCTTTGTAGACTCTTATCTTCATAATATTTTATTTTAAAACCTTTGCCCATACTGTAGGACAAAATTATCCTGTGTTTTAAGGGTATTATAAAAACATAAATTTCACGCGGACAAACTGAACACGCACCCGAAACAATTATCTGTGGACTACACAAATAGTCCCGTGTGGGAATCGAACCCACGACCACCGGTGTCGGAGTCAATACTTTGGCAACTGCGCCATGACGTAAACACGCTACACGTATCTGTAATTTTTGAAAAAACATTGATTTATGTATATTGATGTATTCAATTACATGTTATATATCACTTACAAAGTACCCCAATAAATTGGCTTTCTCACTAAATATACGTTATAAGAGTTGTAGAAACAGGCCATTTCCCCCGCGGAGCAGCTGAAATTTAATTAAAACATTACAATGCAATTCACTCGATTAAGTTAAGAGAAGAGTGTGAAAGGAAACATAATATAAAAAAATGAACATTTCCGCACTTGAACGCAACAGATAAGTGAATAATTTAGTATATCACGAAAAATAAATAGTGAAAAGAGGGTCTTATTGAGTGCAAAACTTCGGAGACGTTTCAGAGGGCCCTCGGGATTCCTTAGGGGTCTTTGTGGGACCGTTAAGATAAACACGCCGTAGGGCTGTCAAAACTCAATCGAGTTTTAAGTTTTCCTGCTGTGACACTTTAGTTTATAACTTTAGTGTATAACTGTTGAGTTTCTTGCCGGTTTTTTCTCAACAGAAACTGCTTTCCGAACCGGTGGTAACTTACGAACATATTAATTTCCTTGTAAAATTTCGACGTTTCATAAGAACGCGCAAGCGTCTATGTGAATAAAGATATTTTATTATTATTATTATCGGATTTTGAGAGATCAAAGTTAATTATAATCGAAAATATATTTTGACGAGTCTGATTTGGGGCGAGATTTAAAGATAAACGAGTAGATAAAAATTAAAACATGGGGTATTGGATCAGTGGTATATTATATTATCTAGGATTCGGTACAAGCAATTTCATTAGTTTCAGATTTTTTTCAAATTCTCCAATGATCTTATTTATACCTTAAAATATTTTGGCTGGAAAATAATTGAAATCACTCATCACAAATGAAGTATCTATGCATTATTGCTATTAATACTGGCACACAAAAAAGAATAGGAAGTGATGCGTGACAAAAAAAACAAGGCGGGGTTCCAAAACCAAAAGTTGACCGCACGACGCGTGAACCCTACGGAACCCCTGGCGTCTTAAGGAGCAGGGGTAAACACCGAGTTAATCGGGTAAACGCCTCGACTTAGTCATAAGCTTCGCGTTTAGCGGAGCGGAAAACGATTTAATAAAATAAAGCGTCATTACATAAATAAAACTTAAATTGTTTAGTGTTTACTAATCAAGCCAGTTTTATTTATGACAATTAGCATTAGCGGTAAAACAGCATCAGATATTTATAAACAATCTTATTTTATTTTAATGGTTAAACCATTACTTTACACTTTACATTTAAACTGCCAATTTATTACTGCAAATAATTCAAATCAGTATATTTTAAACAAAATTTAAAAAACAGATCAATCAAATCAAACTATTGCACGTATATCTTCGCAAATTAACACAAACTCTAAAGCTTATGTATTTGCAAAACGTGACATATATAGAACTGTAACGATACCGAGTGATATAGTAATCGAGCACGTACGAAATTGGAATAGCGAGAAACACATTGCATTGATTTAAATCGAACTCACAAACTCAATCGCAATTCGAATTTCGCAGCCACTAAGCCAACACCGCCGAATAAAGAAATCGCTGTTAATTGTAAAAAACGCTCCGTCTTCCTCACACGTAGCGTTCTTAACACTTAAGTGGTCTTTTCTGCTTCGGGGAGCGCGACATATGCCCCTAAATGTTGGTAATCGACCAAGTCGTGGGCGTTTCTAGAACAAGTTGTAAGATAAGCAATGATCATAACCGTTATAATTAGAAATAAAACATTCATGGCGACAGGGAAATCTCGAGAGTGGAGTTATATTAAACATAATAAATGTAAGTTAACATTATCCTATACCTGGACAGACTCGATACAGAGATCATATTGACCTATGTTAAAGTTTATGAGCTAAGATTTTAAACTAATATCTCGAAGTAATTAATATGTAATTTAGTTTAAAATCAATTTCATCATTTTCAACGAAGAAACCGACGAGTAAGCAAGTTACAGACATTGAAAAACAAAAATGAAAATAATAACGTTACAAATGAGCACTGAAAATAATCTTAGAGGATCCATAAACATTTATTTACTTTTAATATAAACTTTGCGATGGCATAAGCAAAAAGGGGTTTATTAAAAAATACCACGCCGCAAAAAGTCAAATTTGCGGTTCGGAAGCCATTAAATCGGATCGTAAAAAAAAAAAGAAGGAAGCAAAGCGAAAAAAAAAAAGGCGGCAAAAACACGCGAAAGCTGTTTAGTCGGTGGCCCGCGAAGTCACAGATAAAAACACCTTGATTCTGGATCATCGTATCTTTTTTTTTTCGACCGCCAATGTTTGAACAAATATTGGCTTGAATGAGAACACATGTTGGGGCGAGCGCGTGCGCGTTTCTAGCACACCTTTCCAGACATTTGCAAATATGAATTGTTGATTGACGCATACATCGAGAGTTCTTATTTTGAATTTGTATACAATATCAGTGTATTTAAGAATCGGTGATTGATGTACATTACCGTTCTAACTTTGTACGCGCGTACACAGTTATACCTTCTATTATTTTACTTACTTTGACAATGAATAGAAAATTCTTGAAGAATTATTGTGTAAGAAAAATCGTATAAATAGTCAGAGAGTTTTTACGCCCATAATGGATGTTGCCGAAAACGAGAAATTACTGTTTTGCAATATTCATGCATATTTAAGTTACAGTTCGTTGGTATTTTTATGAAGACAAAGGGAGACAAATAAGCAAGCGGTTCACATGATACTCATAACACCATAAGAGTTACAAATGAGGCAGGAAAAGACTCCCATCTTAAAGGTTTCATTATTAAAAAAAAACACGTGTTTTTAATAACGAAACCTTTAAAAAACTAGGATATACAAAACATTTAGAAACTTGAATTAGATTGGTGTTGAAACATTTCTTATAAAACTTTTTTTTTTTTTTTATAAATCTTTTATTGTATATTTTTAAAGATTTAGACTTATAAAGCTCATTTCATTTGCACCTTCAGATTATAAAACGGTGTATATTACAAAATTAATATTAACATGAAATAAAAAAAATGTAAATGAATTCAAGCGTGTGATGAAACGGCACCGGGATTCGAAGCCGCGACCTCCAGTAAAACTCACACGCAATGGGCCACTGCCACTTCATTATCAGTGTAATATCGTGTTACCAAACCGAAAGCTCTGTTTGTAAATCAAACAGGAACACACCGCGTCCGCAGGAGGCACTTGGGCGGTCGTTGAACTGCCTTTTTTTTCACGTATACTTATCGTCTCTTGTTTGTCTGTCCGTGTCGAGTTCCTTTGATAGCGCCCACTTATGACGCTTTTGTCGTTCACAAATGTTCGGACGACGGACGGAGCGGGCGGCGTTATCGGAATTTGCGGTTTGTTAACACGAAAAAATTCACGATCGAACATTACGAAAAAATCAAGAATATTCTATAGCTTGTTACTAGTTTGTTACTCTTGACTTTTACCAGCAACTCATAGACTTAAGGCCCATTTACATGGTGCCAGTTTCTTGCCTGTTGTATACAATTAAAATTGAAGCAATAAATGAGTTGCATGGTCTAAACAACAAATGGTCATAACAATTATTGCGCGCAATTTATTGCATTCAATTATTGCTCTTGCATGTTCAAGAAAATGGCATCGTGTAAATGGGCCTTTACAGTACGGATAGTACAGTGCAAATAGGATAGTACGACCACACTGCAGTCTTTAATTTGTGAGACTCCAATGGAAACATAAATTTGGTCAAGCGGTAGTTTTCCCTGTTGGATAAATACCACGACTGAGGGAAAAATGACATGCTGTTTCAATGCATTCGCCTGGTGAGTTAGGTAAATTAGGCCCAAAGTTTGGCTCGAAACTGTTATTGGTGCCATTTTAAAGCGTTCTAAAAACTAGCATCAGGCACTCACAGCTACTACAATGGCCAATCACTTTCTAATTCTTCTTTCTCCTGCACTTATCGCATCATTGTTGGAACAGCAGAAAATGTGAATCCTTTTACTTCTAGCATTGGCTACTATTCTTCGTCAACCCTCCTTGGGAATAAACATCCCGAGCCAAAACAATTATCTGCGTCCGTTCAAATACTCGTCCCGTTTGGGAATAGAACCCGTAACCCTGGCGAAGAACCAAACCGCTTAGCGACTGCGCCACCGAGACATCACTTTCTACAATAGCATTTACATGCTATTGTATCAGGCTCACATTGGTTTGTAGCGGGGAAGGTAATCAAACAGTAAAACGAGAGACGCCGACACATTACGGGCCATCTGTTATATTACTATCATCAACTCAGATAAGACGGATCAACTTTCGCTCCAAGTCGATAATGTCCCATCGCAACATGTTTCCCTTCTAAAATTTCGCTGTGACAACGCGCCTTCATTGCGTGTTCTGAATCTGGTTTATGTTGCTGGACAAATCACTTCTATGTCATTTGAATGAAGGTTTTGAAAGTGTTTGGATTGTCGTAGAGATGAGTGAATAATGATTTATTAAAGCGAACGTTGGGCATTGTTAAGAGTAACTGTTTTACTTATTGCTTACAAGTAAACATAAATATTTGATGACTCGGTGGCGCAGTTGCCAAGGTATTGGCTTCGGCGTCGGGGGTCGTGGGTTCGATTCCCACACGGGACAACTATTTGGGCGACGCACAGATAGTTGTTTCGCATCTGTATTTGTCCGCGTGTAATTTATGTTTGTAAAAACGTCCTTACAACACAGGATAATGTCATCCTAAAGTGAGGGCAATGTTTTAAAAAAAATATTAAAGCAAATATTATATATACATTAAAGAGTTATGTATAGATTAAATTCACATTTGAATTATGTAGTCCAGATTGGCGCAAACAATAAAAGAATTATATATATATTTATTTACATACTACGGAGTACCAGTTTTTTCTAGTTTCTAGTATATCTGTTTCTTTAAAGGTTGTTAAAATAGCCAGTTATAATGTAGAAATTTTATACTTGTTATTAAAATAAACGTTATTATTTCGTAACTAAATCGCGAATCGTTGTAAATACTGGCAATTAGAAGTTATTTCAAAAATTCCTTTAAGCACTTTAGATGAATTGCTTCAAGGGTTTTATAAAACTATTTGTGGAAAAGCAAATTATAGTTGAATTTTTCCCAACTTTTTATGTTTTTTCGCTATTAATTAACGAACTAGCTTAATTTAAAAACTACCTAAAACAAAAAGCCCGCAAAGGATGATAATTGCTTAATAGCGTTTTAATATTTTTGTAATGTAAAGACTGCATAAAAGATGATAATTTCCCAAAATACGATTTAATGTTTTTACAAATTGAAGTAAGTAGACTGATGACCGTGATCCGTGCGTGTAATAATTTATATTCGATCTACACGTATGACATATATTGTTCAATAATTTTTCTAAAAGTTGGTGTTTATACTTATTTAACTTACGTTCATAAAACATATCCTATCCTACACTAGGGGTAGTTTTTTTTTTTTTTTAAATAACAAGTTAATTTTTTACTAACGATAAACCGACTTCATATTTGAAGCTTTGAAGAATGAAGAATTTCTCGCTCTGTATTCTTTTATAATTGATTTTTAGGTGTTCCATACGTATCTCCGAAGCTCAAGATCCAATAAAAACGAATTTAATATGAGACCACTGGAAGCACCAGCTTTCAAATAAAAAAGAATCATAAAATTGGTTCACTCATTCGAAAGCTCTGAGGTAACAAACATAAAAAAAAAACAGTCGAATTGAAAACCTCCTCCGTTTTTGAAATAGGTTGAAAATAAAAAATTAATATCGCTTAGTCAGAAAATGAATTATGTCTCAATGTTCAATAATAGACTAAACTGTTTTGTCTATTTATACATAGATAAAATAATTCTTTTAAATTCTTACGGCAATAAACTACTACTCTGTATACTATATAGTTGTGAAAAACCTCAGTTATTTGAACTCGAAATAACTCATTTCAACTTGGAACACTCCGCGAGACACTTGCGACTTGCTAATTCAATCCGCGCTCGGAACAACGTATGTCGGTGAAGCGTAAGATCATAAATCTTCGATCACACACGCGAAAGTTTCGCCGAATCAATTACAAGTTACCGGGTCTCAAGCAGTGTGGCGGCAGTGGGTTCGGCATTCCCCAATTAAACTTCGCGGGATCTTGCATCCTCGCCGGGATCGAAAGAAATCGAACACGTGACACATACCGGACATTCTTGATTGAAAAGCTTTTGTGCACTCAAGTAACAATATTTTTTTATGTGAAAAGTTGCCAAGCGAAGACGGTTCACCTGATGTTAAGTGAATACCGCTGCCCATGGACATCTGCTACACCCGAGGGTTCCAGATGCGTTGACAACCTTTTGAAAATTGAGCTCCGGCTGCCTCACTCACCAGACGAAACGCGAAAGTATTATACTTCCACTTTACGCCGGTCTTCTGTGAAGTCGTGGTACTTAACCGGACGAGCCTGCCCATTCGTGCAACAGCCTAGGCTGCCGCGTGACCCTACCACCGTTGAAACTGATATATTATTAAGTAGAGTACAGTAAAAGCCTATATATGTCCCTCTGCTGGACCCACGTAAAGAGGGTATTAGGTCGTAATCCACCACGCGACCCCATCGCAGATTGGTTAAATTCACATATATATTTTTTATAATTATTATTTTGAAAGTTTCTTCATGGTGTTTTTCCTCACCTGAGCACGTGGAAGTCAGCACTTAAAATTGCAATTAATCGGTCACTCTACTATATTGAATTAAAAGCGAGCTCCGGGATATGTACTATCACTGCTTGAGTAACGAAGCGATAATGATAGAATATACGCAAATGGCGAGTAGCCAATTCCAAATTATTAAAAAGGTTCGTGTAGGTTCGAAGTTAAGTTGGTAATTTGATTAAGAGCTGTAAAGTGACAATGATAGTACGTTGAAATAACTAAGAAACTTCGTGCCGCCGTAATATAAACGTAATTATTATAATCTTCGGAATGTAATGCGTATAAGTAGACATTTTATTTGTAAAAAAAATAGTAAAATAAAGTGATCTGCCCATCACCGAAGAACTACTGGATAGACCACAATTAATTCTTCAAGTTTTATTTCATAGACACTTGGTCTTTATCTTAAAAAAATATTGTGATATCTTTTTGCCTAATGTAAAGTTATTAAAATTTTAAGGATCAAATATTTTTATGAGCACTACATGTTCCGTGATGTATCTTTTCGTATGAGAAAAATGAGGCAAGCGGTGTAATGTTTAATATAATAACCAACGCAGACAAAATCGCGGGTATCAGCTAGTTTTAATTCATTCACCAATTCAAATCACAAACGAAAGTCCAGCGGGACTAGAACAATTGAAAAAAAAAGAAAAAAAAACTGCACAAATTTAAATAGCCTTCGGAGATCTTGCAGACGCAGCCGGCACGCGCACGCATTAAAAGGGACGAAACAATAAACGCCATTAACCGCGAACAAAAGGAGTAAAAGCCAAGTCGGGGGCACAATTAAAACAAGAAATAATAAGGAATCGTTATAATAAGTATTATTATAAAGAGACAGCTAGTAGGGGGACTATGGGCCGCACACCTGGCGGGACACGCGACCGACGACCCTCTACGCTTCTGCCGATTTTGTTTTTTTTAAAAAAAAAAAAAAAAGAAAACGCGGGAACTCGCGGTGGTTGCACACTGAAAATTCCTTTATGTTGATCGTATAATTTCGCAGCTTTTAGGTCCGAATAAGATTATTTCTGTACGCCATTTAGGAACTTTGTCGTCGGTAATTAAGGGGCCGGGTCGTTCCTTGACGGCTCTTCTGTATGAATTCATTTTCGAGGTTATTTTTAATTTCTTTCAGATACGATTTGTGTAGAGTTTAATAATGGGTTGATTTTTGCTCATAATTTTTATCGATGTCATTTTTAAATTGGGCGTACATCAAAAATGGCAACATCAAAGAAAATTAAAATTTTTAAACACGGGCGCAACGCAAGCGTTGTTTCAATGCTTCTTTCATTTCCCACCAGCAAAGATTCAAAAAGAACCGTGAAGAAGCAAAGAAAGGAAATGGAACTAATAGCCGTTTCACCGAAGCAATTCGAAATAATTTTCGCCTTCGTCCGCGAGGCTTTTAGGTGAGTGAAAAATGGAGGAAGAAAGCAAAAAAAAAAAGAAAGAAAAACACTTCCTCAAGAGGCGGGCCGCGCACAAAAGCGGCAACTTGTGGAAAATGCGGAAGAAAAACAAAAGGAGTGCAAAGTTTTCACACTGTTTACAACACAATGAACGGAGGCGAACTTTAGAAGAAAAAAAAAGGTGCTTTGCCGTTTCCGAGGCGATAGAACTTTCATCCGTTCTACATCATATCGGAGCGCTAACTTAAGCTGCTCGATTGAGAACTATAGTAACATTTACGGCCAAGTTGACGATTTCGTCCCCCTGAATCGCATTCCTGCATATATTACAATGAGCATTGTTCCCGCACGCGCCCCTCATAAAGCCAGTAAGCCACCGACATCTGTCTTCAACACCTGGCCTGATCTAATGCATTTCTTTTACACAACACTCTTACTTCTGCGCCATAGCGTGACGTGTTAAATAAAATTGTCGCTTTAACACTCGTCAAAAGCTTAATTGGTATTATGTGTTTATATTATTGTTACTATATTATTATTGGTAACATATTATTTATATTTTTCGGATTACTAAGTATGTGTTGCTATGAGTTTTCGTAATATCCTAATAAGCAGAAAATAGTGAAAATATAATACGTGCGGACACAGAGTCCTATTACCTTTTAACAAACATTAATTTCATTGATTTGAGGAGCAAAATAATTTGGAATTGACTCAATCCTAAATTAATATTTTACGTATATGCTTTAATTAATATCAATATCGCTTATATTGTATTCACAAATTTTTTGACACAAATATTTGCGTAAAAATACTAACTACCGCCTCCCGACTTTGATCGATGCTTCTTCTACGCATTTACATAACGGGCTTTAAATTTTAGACAGTGAAAGTTCTATCTAATTTCTATCTTTCTGTAGATACTTCGATCATTAATAAAGCTACATTGAGTTATATTTCAACCTTTTAACTTCTAGTCATTTCTTTATTACCAATTATCATTAAATCAAACAAAACTACATCCGTCATATTTTATGCGAGTATGTGGCCAGTCACTCTTCGCCGGCACATCGGTATTGGAGCGTGACGTGCCGCCATTTTTCGTTTCCGTTTCCTGGAGCACGATTAATTAGTTCTTTTTTTAACGAAGTGCAAGGCTGTTCGGATGGAGCCTAAACAATTTAATACTCTATAAATGTTATGTACGCAGTAAGCGTTGGTTGCAAAGCGTTATTAGATACGCTAAACACTTCGCTGCGGCAAACGGCAGAGCGCGAAGATTTCTACGTCAACCTATTTACATCTTATTTATAAAAAAAAAAAAACAACCTATTTACATCTTATTTATGAAGGCTACATAATATGCGTCCCGGAGCTTCACTTTTATAACTTCTCACTCGATGTGCACGGCAAATTGCACCATAAAGGCTGCCGTGCTCACCGCATAAAAGCGGGGTCCGGCAAATGCATGTACTAATGCCGCCTTTGACGCACATATCAAATTAGAAGCTGAAAGGGACACGTTGGAGGAGACGAAAGTAACGCTAAGCAATCGTGAGTTGGCGCGTTCGCACAAAAGGAGCGTTCCGACGGCGGCTGCTGACGCAACGGGGAAATTGCTCACGAGACGTCGTAAATTGAATAGACAGCGCGGCGCGGGTGGAGAGCATACGGGCGGCTAGTCGAGGCGCGCACGACGCGTTCTACCGCCGCGGTATGTTGGAGACAGGTCTTCCGAATTAATAAGTGTTGATAGTAATAAACACGGCAGTTTTTAAACGAATTAGCTTTGGCAGGCCGCCGTGGATGCCCGTGGTATATTGGAGACAGTTTTTCCGAATTAATAATTGTTGATCATAATAAATAACTGTGGCTACGCAGCAGCTACTGTTGCACGAACGGGCATGTTCGTCTGGTTAAGTAGCACGACCTCGCAGAAGACCGGCGTGAAAGTGTAACGATTTCGCTTTTCTTCCAGTGAGTGAGGTAATCGGCACCCACTTTTCAAGTGAAAACTTCTATAGGCGCGTTGAGCAGTTTTTGGGTGAACAGAAAGCGTGAAACTCGCGTCATCATCATCGAGCGCTATCCATGGGCTATTTTTAGAAAAAGGAATACGCAAAAATATATTTGTAGTTATGGAAATTCATATAAATAAAGTCAAAAATTTGAGGGTTTGGACTTTCTTATGGCGACATTACGTCATTTTGTGTGCAAATGTGAATGTGTTATTTGTCAGAAAATTTTTATGACCGTTTTTTTTTTCTTGTGCTACTTTTTTGTTGAACTTTGTCGAGACAACACGCGGCGTTCGCGCGTCATAATCGCCACCGTATGTTCTCGCCACGGGCGTAGTAGGCACACATTTTCACGGCAACTTGGGCGCTAACACTTCACGCATCGTCACTTACGAATATAAAGGCGCGGTGCTCAAAGAGTTTTAAAGTTTTCGCATTAGGAGTCCTTAGAATAACGCCGAGAAAGTAATTAGGAGAGGTCCCGTTTAAGTTAAGTTAAGTTTCCCGCCACTTTTGATTGATTCGCGGGCAACCGGCGGTGTGTTCTTCGGCGACACGTAAAGGTTGATTCAAATCGATAAGGACCAAAATAAACTTAATCGTAAAAGTACATAATACTGGCCACAATACAGAAAGTTATTGCAAAAAGAAAAACAAGGAACCGTTCCTATTTTGAATATTGACAGATATACGCGATAATTCTGAAGGGCTACCCATTGTATATGCCGCGATAGCCCGATGCAGGGCGGACGGTTCGGGTCTATTATCAATGCCTTTCGCGCGTTAAATCCGTTGCCAGGCAACCGAGAAGCTCCCGCCTCGCCTTTTGGCGGGAGTGGCGTTTTAGCGCCGGCACGCGGAAAGCAAACATAAAACCACAAAGAATGAACAGAGAGGCAGAAACGGCGAAAGAATCTGGCCCTCCATTAAGAGCGAGAGCGCCTGAAGTATGATGCAGCGCTCCGCCGTCGGCATCGGCTTAAGATGGCCCCCGCAATTAACGGGCTGCCGGTAACTTTATAGGATACCTGGCTGCGACTTTGTCGAGGCGCGCCTGACGAATTAAACCGCGGTCCCTCCTTGCTTTCGTCGGAGGATTTATTAATCTGCCTCTAATCGACTCCATTATATCCATCTGCATTATTTAAATGATTTCAGCGGAGTTGTTAAGATTTGGCGCGGAGCACGTGAACGCTAAGTTCACTCACCGTTTTTTTTTTATGTGAGAAAAGGCGAGCGTGCCGTCGGTTCACCTAATGTTAAGTGATAACCGCACATGGACAGCTGCAACACGGTTTGCAGGTGGGCTCCGGGTATCTAAATCACCAGACGAAATGCAAAAGTACTAGTGTAACTACTTTCACTTCATGAGGGTCTTCTGTGAGGTCGTGGTACTTCGCCAGACGAGCCTGACCATTCGTGCAACAGCAATGACCTACCGTTGCTTGACCATTGCCGATTTTCTATATAAGCTGTTGTTACTGGACCTCGATAAAATAAGACATCGGATATAATGTCATTCTGTAACATTTACCATCAGCACGCTTGATAAGTTATTTTGCCGTCAGCTCTCTAATAAGAAATTCTACAACACACAACTTTATTTTACTACAAAAATTTTTTCTACAACAAATAACGCGTATTACTAGAGTTTATACTCTAGTAATACGCAGAGATGACATATTCTGTCTCCGTGATTCAGAATTACTGAACGGTCGAATTTATAAGAACTATTGCGAATGAATGAAGATTTACATGTGAAACATCGATATGATTCTTTAAATTTATACAAAATTATACGTAATTAAACAATAAAATACGAAATCTGTATTATATGTATAAGTAATACATATAACGCAAATATACGCCGCAACTCTTAAGACGCGTGTCGGTCGCGCCGTACCATCGATGTATTATATCGCTTCATTTATGATTTTGCGCTACGGAAAAGTTCGTTCTCATTAACACATGACGCTCCCTTTGAAATATATCTCGCATTAAAGGATGCGCAACCTAAAAAGCTTTAGAAATGCCACAGACTTTAATCAAGAACAAGGAGGATATATAGTTTAGAACAATCGCGACGCGATTTTTTTCAAATCCTCGCTTGCCGTTCATCTAACGTCCGTATTTAGAGCGCATTACTCGAGCGACTGAAGCGCACGTCAAGATAGAGACCCTCCCCCCACCCCGCTACCCCCCCCAGCATCCAGGTAAGAGCACCCACAATAGCCCACTAACGAAATTAAAAGCATCGCACGCAACCCGCCTCACGTCGGATCATTACTTAGGCCGCATCTTTTTAAACGCCCTCAAGAGACTTGAATGCGGGGTCCTCGAATCGGCTCCCAGGAAATGGAGAGGAAAATAGAGAGAGAGAGAGACGGGGGGTGGGGTACGCTAGCCATTGTGAGGAGGCCGCTTGGCATCTCATTAAAACGCCTCGCCTCTCGAAACCCGCTCTGGTCGCGGACACCGGGAAACGTAGTTGCGGTGCACCCAAGGGTGTGGCAGAGCACTTTGTCCCGAACTTGAATTGCTCGATCGGACGTCGCGCGGTGACCGAACATTTGTTTAGTGAGAAAACTTGCGACATCTGCGACACCTGTAGGCTCGCTTGCGTTGACAGCTTTGTGAGAAGTCGGCCTCGGCTACCTCACTCGCCAGACGAAACGCGATTATATTACTTCCACTTCACACCGGTCTTCTGCGTGGGTGCTGCTTCTACGGAGGAGTCTGCCCATTGCTGCAACATCAGAAACTGCTGCGTAGGGCCACGACTTACACGTTAGCAAAATCGTTAAGACGTATCGACACGCAATCGAGTTTTCAATTAAAACCTTTGTTTGACCTTGTTAAACCTTGAGGGTTTGCAGATGATTTGAAAGTATTTGTCATGCTTCCACTTTACGCCGGTCTTCTGTGAGGTCGTGGTACTTACCCGGACGAGCCTGCCCATTCGTGCAACAGCCGAGACCGCTGCGTGGCTCTACCACCGTTACTGGTTTAGACCGGTTCAAAGTCTGCCAATCCGCATTGGGCCGCGTCGCGGACTATCCTAACACCCAATGTACAGAGGTCTTTGCCCATCAGTGGGACTTATATGAGCTACTGCTACATTCAATGCCAAACAACCCCAATGGGTTACCATCAGGTGAGACACGTGCAGATGCGTTACGTTTAACACAAACATTCTAGACTACAAAGAAAAAAAAAATACAGTTTAAAACTAGTGGTATTTGTTAACGTTTACAATAATTATTACATTATTCATTATTTCATTAAATAATAAAACAGTTTGGAAAAATAATGAAATAATAAACAAATAAATAATAAACATTTCTGGACATATTATTAAAATATTTTATCTAATCATATTATTCCAAACTAAACTTGTGCTATGGGCACTCATCGATATGTACAAGTATAAACAACCAGACACAATATAAACACTCGATGTTTATATTCAATTTGCTTTATACAAAGGTAATATTTATTCAGTAGTTAGGCTTTAACATGTTTTAAATCCTCATTTCACCTAACCTTCTGATGCAATAGATGGGTCACTATCCAATTAGGTTATTATCGTCTAATACAAATACGTCCCACTGCAGGCCGAACTGGCAGCATAAACGAAGCGTTAAAAAGTTTACCGACGCGCGTAGATAAAAAATTTCCCCGCGCGAAATTTATAACGCGCGTTTAATTAAAACGCAAGTTTTCTAAGAACACGCGCCTGTTTATTCCGATAAGCTCCTTTGTTCGGAGAGCGTGCGATTAAAGTAAACGGGAGTTAACGTTAATGCACGCGTAAGCTGTCTCCTAGACCGCATCCTGGATTAAAGAAATATGGTACAAAGCGCTAACGATACAACGACGAGCAATCGCCTGGCAATAGCTTCTTTGCTGTATTAAATCACACGATGACACAAATCTGTTGTCGCAATACCCAGTTATTTCGATAGAAACCAGTCAGGTGAAACAGATCGAGTGTTAAGGCCCATTTACACGATGCCATTTTCTTGAACATGCAAGAGCAATAATTGAATGCAATAAATTGCGCGCAATAATTGTTATGACCATTTGTTGTTTAGACCATGCAACTCATTTATTGCTTCAATTTAATTGTATACAACAGGCAAGAAACTGGCACCATGTAAATGGGCCTTTACACATACTTGTAAACCACTTCAACTATCACCCTTAAAGTCAGTCTTTTTCGGTCAGGCATTATTAGTTCACTCATGAAAGAAATGATCGTCCGATATTTAACCCACCAAGCGAAGAAACGACGAGGAATAACTGTCGAACATAGTACATTCCCGTGTTACAAACACCGGAACAAAACCAGCAACATTTATGCTATGCAGAGCGCGTTATTTCAATTCATCTTGCTTACAACTTTTCATTTAAAACTCCCTTCAATATTTTTCTTGAGCTATAACACTCAATTTTTGTAACCATCATTTAATTTTGTGTTTTCATACATATATTTCCAACATATACTACATAGTTTAACAATAAAGAATATCACTCTATAGTAAACAATTTTTCTTCGAATTCATATCATAAATATTCTCAGGGTAGAGCTGTTTCAAGTTAAGAATCGACGGCAAGTTTTGTTTTGATAATTAGGAGGTGGCATTCAACTTGATGATTATAAATGAGCATTTTATATATATCTGTACCGTGTATGTAGCTGATATCTAAAGTATTCCTTGGAAATAAGGTTGAAGATATAATTAAATAGATATTTTCTTAAAAAACAACCAGATGCCGCATCCAACGTTAGTGACTCCGAGTGACTGGAATTAAGAACGTCGCAGCGCGATGAAGCGGAATCCTTAGCGATCATTACTCGCTCGTCGGTCGCGATGTCGTTATGAAATACGTTCGTAAACAAAAAGTACCGGTTTTATTTAGAACGGCCTTAGCCGGAGCGAAACTCGCACGGTTTTGTCTTTAGCGGTTCTTTGCGTTCCATAGTATTTTCGAGTGCACGCTTTTTCAATGCGTGGTGGCGTCGAACGTCGGTTGACATAGTGGGGAGGTTGCACTATAACATAATATTATATTAAAGAAAGAGTTTAGTTTTATATATACTAATTATTTTAAAATGAAAATTTTTAATTATCTTCTTCTCTGAAATCGCTTTCTATTTTATTAGTTAGGAAAGTTTAAATATGACAAAGTAACAGATTTAATTTCTATAAAAAGAACTAGAATATTAGTAATGTTTATATTTTTAGACCATATTGGATTTTGATATTATAAAACCAACGGGATGTACGCTCGCTTTTAATTCAATATACTCGGGCAACCTGAGTTCGAATCCCGGCACCAATGAAATTATTAATTCTTATTGCTGAATTATCACGTGCTCAGCGGTGAAGGAAAATATCGTGAGGAAACCTGCATATTTTCGAAAAATAAAAAATAAAAATTTCGAAAATATTTGAAGTCAATCCGCAGTGAGGCCGCGTGGTGGACTATGCCCTGATACCCCCTGTACAGAGGAGGCCTTTGCCCAGCAGTGGGACATTTATACTTTACTTTTCTTTCTTGAGTGAGAATGGAATCCAGGATTCGTGGCGCTTCGTGAACTTTCTCCATTAAATTGCTAAGGTGATTAGTAAAAGCGAACAGCGCGTTAGTTTGTAGGTAGGTTGAAATTTCTTATCCGCGTGGTAAGTAAAAAATTAGAGGCAAGTCTCAGTTGTATCTGATGTACGGCGACGAGTTTATCACAAGTATCGTGTGTAGAGATGAGTAATCAAGGAACAATATAATGGCCATCTCTGTCTACTGCACAAAATAAGCCACCAAAGTGACGCAAAATACTACCCCCCCCCCCCCCCCCCAGCAACCCCTTGTACTAAAAACTGTCCACCCCGTACAGTAAAGAGAAGAATATTATATTAACATGCGTAATATGAAGTCAATTCGACGACCCGAATGGCGTAGTGGGTAGTGTACCTGCCTCCTGCGCCAGAGGGTGTGGGTTCGATCCTCACTACTGGAAAAATATTGTGTGATGAACATGGTGTTTTTTCTAGTGTCTGGGTGTTTCTATATGTATAATATGTATTTATTTACAAAAGAAAAGTATGTTTAAGTATGTTTATCAGTTTTCTAGTACCCATAGTACAAGCTTTGCTTAGTTTGGGTCTAGAAAATGTTGTGTACAAATGTGTCCTAAATATTTATTTATTTATTTATTACGTGATTAAGCCAATTCAATACTCACCTATCAACAAATATTCAGCGTGTGAAGACTCCAGATGTTGGGAGTTTGTCTGTAAGGAAAAACTTTGTATTTATAAAAGGCATCGTAAAATATTAAATACATCAATCAATTATTATTTGGTGTATGGAATTGGATTATGTAGTATTGAAAAGTATAGCCGAGCTCAGTGTCAGGGCACTCGCTTTAAATTCAATATTAAAGAAACCTGAGTTCAAAAATACAAGATATTTCGAAGATATGTGAAGTCCGCTAATCCGGGTTGACTTCGCATGATGGATTTTCCCGTAATACTTTTCCTACAGGGGGAAAGTATTTTTAGAATGTCTCGCTCGAATCCTCTTGCTAATCTTACCGAGAGCAAGTGACCAGGAGATTATAACATGGGAGTACTAAAACCAATTCAGTATTTATTAACAATCAGGTTTCACGTGACTACAGACCACCTATTAAGAATCCCTGGCCGTAAAGCTGTGCTATGCGATCCTAGTAAATTTTAATCAGATAACCACTTAGTTTTTGTTATCATTCGCAATATTCATCGATAAAAACTTGTTACACAGCGTGGCATTTGAAATAACATAAAGGTTTTATGTAAAGTCAACAAATGGTAGCAAGCCGAAGCTTATGAATTAGAAGTAACAAGTCAATTTTAACTATTATAACGAAAGTTTGATTTGAAACGGTGACTTTGTAGGTATTGGGATGCCTAACTTTAGCGTATGCTTTGTACGGACGCTAACTTAGGCCACGCCCACCTACGTCTTGGGCCCTCCTTCGGCCCGATAAGCCGGCTCCTTGCGTCACGCCCCCTTTCTTACGTCACAACTTAGTTCTGTGCGGGCGACCACCTCGCGACTTATGCGCTCCTGGTACAATCGATACAAATGATGCCTTGTTTGCGGCGTCTTTGCAAAAAAAAAAACTCTCCTCTTCATTTAACACTTTAAATTGCTTTAAAATCTAAGAAGGTGGTGTGTTGCCGGGTACGTTGACTTTTGCAAATTCTTGTCATTTGTGCTCAATAAGCCAGTTTTGTTTGTTCGGATTTCTCAAGTGATAATCCATCCTTCTTTCCTAGTCATTGAAAAAAATAAATATCATTGCTTCCTGATGTATGGACTGGTGGAATTTCGAACCTTATGACATCCTAGTACAGCAGATTAAATCAATAAAATCAGATAAATATAGTTAAATAAAGAAAATTATAAAATATAGTTATAATATAGTTAAATTAAGAATATAGTTAAATAATTAAGAATATATTAATATTTATACCAATACTATTGGTATAAATGTATACATTTCTATGCTAGTAATGATTAAAATATATATAAATATATTCATAAACACTTCTCCATAAATATTTCTCTATGTCTAAGACGGAACAGCAAGCTTGAATCTAGTTTTGAAAAGTTGTTTATATGAAAGACATTATTACGACAAATTAAGCGATTGCAAATTTCAACTATTCTCTTCAACATTTCACATAGAAGAATATTAATGCAATTCTTGTGTAATTTTTTTATCGTATAATCTTTTTGACTTAGTTATTATTCACCATTTTTTTTAACGTAAGTACACTATGTACATTCTATCAAACATTAGGTAAGATCAAATCACAAAACATACGGAAACCTTGTAATAAAAGAATCACAGGAGTTTCCAAACTACTACTAAGTAAACATGTCGACGTCAGAGAATTCAATTCCAATACTCGCATCTTTGCGAAAAATAATAAAACACAAAGCTGTAGGTATCGCCAGAGAACTAATAAGAAAATCGAATAGGACTTCGAGACTTCTAAGCTCGTCTTAGCCAATAACTACGCAGTGCCGCCCACGTCTTGCAACGCCCATTTTCTTAGAAATTTAGTCGTCTAACCACACCCACGGACTCATACGCCCATAGTCTTAGAACCAACCAGTAACTTAGTAAGTTACCTACAACATAATAATATCCTTTGTGACCGAACTGCTAAATGTAGTAAGTAGCAGGTCAGATAAAACTGTCAATTGTAATAACATATTTTTTCTGTTTTAAAACGTGATTACGCAACATGTATATATAGTCAAAAAATAATAAAGGTTTTATAACCATATTCTCACTAAGATGCAAATAGATTAGCATAAGACATACATTATTTACAAATTCATCTAACAAATGTACTTCTATTATAGAAATCTTTCACTCGTTTAAAGAGAAACTAATATACATTTAAAAAATAAATTACTTTGTTTAGTCGGCAAACTGCTACCATCTATAGTATTTAAATAGAACTTGTAACAATAAAGCGACATCTATCGTACAATTATGTACTTGTTTTACAAGCTGCGCGTGCGATGCATATTTTACCGCCATCTATGTAATAAAATTTAAAGCTTTCTTAAGCTTACAGCGTAATATTGAGCTCCATCTAGCGGTGAATAACAAAAATTAATAACGAATGAGCCTAACGTCTTACTATTATATCAGTAGATGGCGTAAATTTATCTAAATCTTTGGGTTACGTATGTTTAAATGATATTTTTGTATTTCCTTTGCGCTGTCAAATTAATTTAATAAAGTTTAAAAATGGACAGATTGTGAACTGGAAGAATTGAGTGATTGTGAATTGGATTGAATTATTAAATATCATCATTATTAAAGCGCCTAATGACAACATGCTCGGCATTGTAAAACAAATTCCTTAAAATGTTATAGAACATTTGCTTATTTTATAATAAAGTTCGTCCGAAACAGTGCGGTGCCGTGATGGCGCATAGGCTTCGTTAATAAAAATGTATTATTAAAACATGTGTCTACAAACAACATAACATTTTTGTTGTTATTAATTGCAATTTGATAGACGATATTACTCTGGTAATGCCACGCAACAGTTATCGCTGTTGCAGCCATACGGATGTTGCAAATGTCCATTGGCGGTGGATATCACTTAACATCAGGTGACAACAATAACAACATATAATCTTGGAAGAGTATTTATATATAGAATAACATCTAGCGCCTGTGAAAAAAATATAGCAAATTGACATAACTGCACATTGGCGGTCTAATTATTAGCATAACACCTTACTATTTTAATGCAAAATAAAATGTGCAAATGAGATCCATTTGAACTCGGAAAAATTGAGTTAATTAAAATCACATTTAATTTATTTTTGTTTAGCTTTTCTCAGCGTTTTGAGTTTGAATATCCAGTTTCAACGGAATTCTTCACAATACCGTATGTATTTCATAAAATGGGCATATAAAACAGTTATCTAAAAACCTTGATTATGTCAAGCAGAGTAATCTCGAGTGATTATAGTTATATATGTAGTTACAACAGAGCGTTTACTAGTTACTTGTAGCTGTATGCTGTGTAGTAAGGCGTGGACATCACAACTACGTTAATCTCCACCATGATTTTTTCACTTCTTTGTGGTTACAAAAGAGACACTCAGCAGAAGCTATTTGGAATGTATTATAACCAAAGAATCGATTCCAAAGTAAAATGACGATATATAATTATGATGACCTGCCGTTTTGCCGTCCATACACTACTTTTTTATGGCAGCAATACCTGTGTTTTAAAAAGGTAGCCAACAAAACCAAGTTTTTAAAACGATCTGGTGATCGTTTCAAATAAGACCAACCAAGAAGTAACCAATATTAATCCACTAAATATTATTGGCATTTATTTATATTGAAATCAACACGAAAGTTATTGCGTGATGAGTAAGACTTCTAATGATACGCATACAGGTAATAATAATAAATATAAAGCAAAATAAATAAAAAGAGAAAACAACACAGAAATAATATTTATTATTAAATTACAAAAAAAAATAATAAAAAATCCAAAATGAAAAACAGTCTTTATTTAAAAGGTAAGACATCATACAAAAGAAAAGTTTTCACTTGCTTCAAATAAACCGTTAGGCTTATTCTAAACGAAGCATTCAAATGCACGCTCAAAAAAAAGTGGAAATATCAACTAAAACATAACATCCAAATCGTTATAACAAAAGATAATAGTAACATACAAAAAAAAAAAAACAATCAATAATTAAACAAATACAAGTAGCCACAAGATAAATTACAACAAAAAATAAAAATTGCTACTACGGTTTGCTTATTCTAAATTATAATTGCAATAACCCAACCTTGGTCCACAAGTCTTGGTACCGCAGCACAAAGCGTCCGATTTGAACCACAGTCTTATTTACTTATAACCTAATTATTTAATCATTTAATTTCGGCAGTAAATTTTTACCTAATTTACAACTAGTTACTTAACATTATATTAACGATTACTATAATTATGATTCATCGATAGCTCACTCGATAAATAGTCGTTCGTTAAAAAAAATAAACTTTAAATAAAAAATATTCTCAATAACGGCCAAAAGTTTTAATCTCTTTACAAATGTAACCGACGTAAATATTAAAAATTTCGCAAAAACTTTACTCCGCTGCCGAAGACAGTTGAATTATTCGAAAAAATCGAGGGTCGAGGGGAAATTTTGCCTAAAAATATCTTCGATTAGACGCGGTCGATTTTATTCTTTGCTAATTTAGTAGGTACTTTTTTTTAAATTTTGTATTATTAAAATTTATAATCACAAGAGCACGAGGAACGTGTATTGCGCCGCGCGGCCCGGCCGGCCGCCGCGACTTCAGACGGACGACTGAGACTGCCCGCGGCCCGCGCCTCCGCCCCGGCCCGCGCCTTACCACCCGCCGCCAACCCCACCCCCGACTTCGTTACGAGCCACTTGTGATCGCCGCGCGATTTTTCCGCCTAAGACAAATTAGGCGGGCCCGCCGGCCGCTTCCCTACTCCGTGAAGAAACCGCCCAAAAGAAGCGCTCCCTCAAGACGTCTTCACACGACACGCCTAAACAAGATTTACGCGCTAATCACTGGATACGTAACGCGTCTAAAGGCGCGAAACCGCAAAGTGTTAGCGCTACGCCAACCATAGACAAGCAACCATAATTTACCGCCCGCCAATGTTACGGCGGCGGGCTGTTTTATTTTTAAACGGCATTTAATCGTCACTCTCACTTTCGCCGATACCGAGGCCGGGTTAATTGTAAATAAAATTCAATCATTCGCAAAAAATCCCCGTAATCGGCGGCCGACAATATCAATGAGAGATACGCGAGTGTTTAATGTACATTTTGTATGCATTTAAAAGCGATTTCATTGACTGCGTTTTTTTATTTCGCGCCAGACATTTTTTTGCATCGGAAAGAATACGTTACGCGGTACTTGTTGATAATAATTATTCCGCAAATTGCATGTACAGTAAAAATGAATGTGACTGACAATGACCCGATGCGAATGGGGTGAACTTTTTACCGAAATGTGATCGTGTCACATTTGTAGCATCGATTTGATAACGGTCTCTTTACGGGTTTATTTCATTTAACGTGTTGCATTTTTTTAAGTTTCTTATATTTGTACTCTTGTTATTTCTTACATTATACTAGAAGTAGCGACCGATGTAGCCGAAATTCACTGTCTGTGAATATATTACTTCGGATCTTTCTGGAAAAAATCCTTTACATTCAACTAAAATTGTGAATATCGAGATATTTACTTTTTATGAAATATATTTATTTAACCAAAGAAACCGATAACCGTTGGGGAAGAAAGGTTCTCGAGTGGCAGCCTCGTACTGGCCATCGCAGTGTAGGACGACCCCCCGCTAGATGGAGTGACGACCTGTGCAAATGTGCGGGAAGTCGATGGATGTAGGTGGCTCAGGATCGTACTTCGTGGCAGTCTGTGGGGGAGGCCTATGTTCAGCAGTGGACTCAAACAGGCTGAAATGATGATGATGACGATGATGATGAACCAAAGAAACGGACCTTTTATTACTTTAGAAGAATTTTACAATTATTTTTTGATCAGACGCCCCTTGACTGCATCAGAGTTGTGAACGCGGCAGCTTACAAGTTGATTGCGAGCTTGTATTTGTTTTATTAAGAAATAAGTTCTATATTCAGTAATAAAAATTGCAAGGCGTACTAGAGATAGACGGTAATCTTTTCAGAATTGAGATTTAATTTCTAAAGCAGAATGGATTGAAAATTTCGATTCTTTCATTACGCCTAAAACATCCAAAATATTGTTTCGTATACATTTAAAGTGATCCTAGGAGATCATGTTAGAAATGGGCGAGATTTTAATACTTTAGTGCATTATATGTTCACGTATACTCGAATTAAACAAGATTTTTTTCTTTTAAATACAGGTATGAAAACGTATTTCGCTAAAAACTATCATACTTATTTTTTCAAGGTTTTAATTCTCATTGGAATTTAGATAATTTGGCCGATGAAGTCAAGTTCATAAAATTTGAACTATATCAAACAATGTTAATTTAGAAATGTTTCTGAGTAATAAACTGCGTTAAGATGCTGAAGGAGATAATGCATGCATTTCCGGACAAATCGAAAAATCGTAAGTTTTGATAAAAAGGTGGATTTCTCAATGAAAATAAAAAAATAGCGTTTCACAAACGAGATCACGGGCATTAATCAGCTAATCTCCACTGTTTAGCTAACTATTTAATATTTCGAGCGAAAGAATTGTATTGCGGTGAATTAAGATTTTTTTGGCACAGAAAACCTTAAGCAGTATAAAGTAAAATAAATGATGATCAAAATTTTTCTGATAATAAATAATACCCAAATAAATTTTATGAACACGTACATTCCGATATTGAGTTTTTAAAAGAAAAATCGACAAAAATCCATATTTTAAAATTGTTCTGATTTCTAAGACCCAAACACGAAAAGCAGATGTCGGTAGTCTACAATTCAGCGTGTTAGACATTAATAAAACCTATTTTTGAGTATTTTTTCTTTTACAAAAAGCGGATAAGCATAAAATAAAAAGCAATAAACAAAATTAGACATAAATTATACAATGAATCAGTTATTATATCGGGCATTCGGTTCGGTTTAAATACATTCTTGCTTTTACGCACAAACGGTGTTAATTATTTTATTATTAAAGCGATATTAGAAATAAAATTCTAAATTCGCCCACAAGTACCACTTTCTTTATCATGTGGCTTGAATATAGTTTCATAACAGTATTAAGTTCTTCTTCTTCTTAGGTACTATTGTAAATTTCACTCTCAAAATATACATTTATTTTATAAGAGACACATTACTCTTTTTTAAATTTATTTTTGAAATCTCTTTAACATGTGAGCAAAAATAAAATTCGGCTAACAGTAGGTAAACATCCCAAAATTTTACTAAAATATATTTTTACAATGTAAAGCTATAATACAAAACTACGCTTTTCCTTGAATATGATCTAAACGAAAGTATTTCCTTTTTTTCTTGCCGAAAACTCGTTTACAATTATAAAGAATAACGATAATTTTACAATCTTATTTTACATCTCGTTATTCTAATAAATACAAATCACATAAGTTTACGAAAATGCAGATTGATAATAATTATTATTAGGATCCTTCAGACTATTTGCAGTCTTTTTATCATTACCAGTTACACGCGTTAAACGGACTTAATTTAATTCAAGTTTCGTGCATTTTCTAAATTAACGATAGATCTTTTAATATGGCATAATATGTACGACACATTTTATACAAACTATTAATTTTTATCTCGATTTATACTTTGAATAAACTGTACGAGGCATATTTTTTGATTTTAATAAACTTTGGCGAGACATTTCGGCTTCCAAAAGCACAATGTAAACGCATAAGGTCCGAATTTTATTAATCGTCTTAACAAAAGTTGATCCAGAATTCAGATGTCGCCGCGGAGGGTTCATTGACCCCCGTCGCGATTTTTAACAAGACATTGATTTTTTCGAGCCATCAATCGAGTGGACACAGCCGAGTATTCGTAAGCCGGACAATTGGTTTACGATTTAATTCTAAACTTATGGCGTGAAAAATTCTCAGATTTAATACTTAACGTATTATTAATGCTTCTCCAATAATAAAAATAAAAATAACAAAGTTGCTAAAGTAAAAACACTAGATTCTTAAAAAAAATTAACAGATAAAGATTCCATAAGACAATTAAGTGTTTCACTGGAATGGAACTTTGTATATTTTAGCCTTAACCAGAATTACACGTAATATTATATAAAATTAAAGAAACAATAAGTAACAAAAAAGTGATATAAAACTTAAAATAAATATACAAACAATATTATTATATAAAACATACAAACTATGCTGCTTTGAAATTAATTGGTCTTCAAATTACCTGTTCGTAGTACGACGAAGAACCTAACACTTCTTTAATCTTCTAAGATGGGAAACACGCGGAATTATGAAATATTATTGTAATAACAATATTTTAAACATACATAAGCACCATAAATAATAAAAATAAAACTGCCTTAGCTGCTAATCAGATAACTGTTTATACAAAGTTATGCTAATAACACAGTCCAGAAAATACAAGTTCAATTCACTTCGATAAAAATATTGATACACGAAAGTCTCTAAAACTCGATCTGCATCGGCGAACCGTTGGCGGGATTCGAAAAATGAAATCCAAAAAAAAAATTAACGCGCCGAAGGAACTTAACACCACTTACAGACTATGCGGCAAAACGAGCCGAATATTTACATTGAAGAAAAAAAAATGAGGTCAATCGGAGGTTACGGGCAACGCAGCCGGTCGGCGCGGGCCGCGACGGGATGTGGCATTCGCATCCTCGGGCTTCCCGCGCCCCCGCACCGCCGCCCGCACACCGCCGACGCCTGCCCCGAGACCGCCGAAAACCACGTGCGCGCACTCGCGAGTGGGACGCCAAATTACAGGAACGACGTATCCGACAGAGACGCGGCTATTCTTTTTTCAATTTACTATATTTGCCTGATTTTTATTATTTTTTCGCATTTCGATATTTTATTTTTTAGTTGATGCGCCCCACAACTCACCTGTTGTGCTTGACCCGTTTCGATCTGTCGACCGATCACATGATCGACGGTTTTCGATACCTTTTTCGGTATCGTACGTACTATTAGCCATTCCGAAAAAGGCGCGAAATTTTTAATCTTCTCTTTTCAACGATCTATTCGCAATCATGCCGTGTTCTATTTTGTTTAGAAAGAAGTGGTTTTAGAGTTATCTGTTATAGTTTAAGCGTGTTATTATGTTTCATTACGTAGTAGTATGAGAAAAATAGTTTAAAAAAATGTGACTTAATATTAAATAAAATAATGCGAGTTCTTTAAGAATTATGTAATATATCAAGAAAAATTAAAAAGACTCTTTAGTTTTGCGATAACTGCGCTACGGTTTAGCAGTGTCGGATAGCGGAACTAATCGTGAATGCTTGGCAAATATTGCGACACTAGCGCTATAACTTGGCGTCAATGCAAAGACTAAGCCGGTGGTTCATTTCAAGCGTGTGCTTATTTTTTTACTTTTTATTGTAATCGTGAAAGTGCAACGTTCACTTCATCGGGCATTCAACGGCCATTTTCGTTTGCAGTTTCTTTTTCGTTTCCATTGGTTTTTAACAGACGTTTTGATCATGTCGCTGAATTGCTGCGAACGTGTGTATTATACCTTGTAATCGAATCGTGTACCAATAGTTTGATTTAAATTGAAAAATATTATTTATTTCATTTTATTATTTTAGATACTTTTCGCTATTACCATAAATAATTATTTTCATATTAAATATTACTGTTTGTAAGATAATTATAATAGATGGCGCTGCAAGTCCGTTTTGTCCGATTCTTCAACGTTCAATTCGCTTCATTTTATTTCTTTATCTTCTTCATTCATATACATTTTACTTGACACTGTGTTAAATATTTATTGTTGTTTTGTTTAATATTTACGTTACTAGTGTTTACTAGTGTCATCGTTATTTCTTTTAAAATGGCGTTATAGAATAATGAAATGTCTACAGTATAAGACTTCCTAAGGCGGTCTTCATTGTCAAAGGTGACAAACAACCAAGTAGCGCTCTATGGTAAGTGAAGACTGTCGCCTAATCAGGGAAGTTGCAAAAATGTTATCGGCCTTTTTGGTATAAATAGCCTCCTTTCGATGGTCACCAAATCACATCAGTCCGGAAAAGCCACTGACGACAAATCATTCTGCACATAATTCGCGCATAGCAAGAATTTTGTAAAAAGTGGACTGCCCGCCATAAATAATCTGTTATTGGTAATAGCTAAAACAAAACTAGTCCTATTATAAACTTTAGCGACGTTTTGAAATATTATGAAAAATTCACTTAAGTTGTACCAGTCGTCATAGCTACGAACCGTGATAGCTCAGTGTCCGGAAGATCGCTTTTAATTATAGTACATTACTGGACCAAATTAACCAAACCATTATCAAAGAAATTGTTAATTTTATGTGCCCACTTATCACGTGCTCAACAGTGAAGGAAAACATCGTGTATATTGGTTATGATAAAAAAATATTTTGGAGATATGCGAACTCAAGCAATTGGCGGTGGGTTCGTGTGGTGGACGATACAATGATACCCCATGCACAGAGAAGGCATTTGCCCAGCAGTGGCACATATATGTAGGATTAGAATCAATGGAATAGAACACCTAACATAGTCCACTATGCAGCCCCACTGCGGAATGCCAATTAGTCTACCAGACTTCAAATATCTTCGAAATATTTTTTTTAGATATATACAGGTCACGATGTGTTCCTTCGCCTTTTCGTTTTAACGAATGTACACAAAGTACAACTTTCCGGATAATAAGATGACATTTTAATTATCGTATGACCTAAATTATTTTGAAATTTTAACGGTGGTAGAGCCACGCAGCAGCCTCGGCTGTTGCACGAATGGGCAGGCTCGTCCGGGTAAGTACCACGACCTCACAGAAGACCGGCGTCAAGTAGTAGTATAATACTTTCGCGTTTCGTCTGGTGAGTGAGGTAGCCGGAGCCCAATTTCCAAAAAGGTTGTCAACGCATCTGCAGACCCTCAGGTGTAGTTAGATGATATGTTAGATGACCATGGGTGGCGGTATTCACTTAACATCAGGTGTACCGTCTGCTCGTTTGGCAGCTTTTCACATTTAAAAAAATAAAAGAATAAAATATAATGGTTCTCATCAATTTGATCAAACAAAAAACACGTACATATGTTTGTGAAGCCCATATGCGACCTAGAAACAACGGGCTGCTGAACTCAGGGACTGCAATTAGTGGGTTAATTAAATTAGTTTGTATCGAGTGAGATATCAATATTGATATATTGATATACGTGAAGCAAAACCTTTGTACCCCTTTCCTAAACTTATACTTTATTTAGAGAAGGAGTTTAGAATGCTAATATTTTTTTTTAATTATGCATAAAAAATAGATTAAATCAATAAAAAACCATATAGGCTTAAGGCCACGGCTTGTGACAAGAGAGCTGGCTCTTTTCTCGCTCAAAGGTTAACCTTTAGCGAGGAAATACAGCTAGCGTTATTGCCACCATGCCGGGTGGATTAGGTTTATTAGATAAAATGTAATTTTAGATAGATTTAATGTTGTAAATATTAGATAAATATTTTTTTATTTATTTACAAAAAAAACACCGGGCGACAACCAGTTTTTAATAAATCTTTAAGACGGAACTTCATAGATTATTTTAATGGTGCTTATGTAATAGTACTTTTAGACCAATTTAATTAGACCTTAAGACCTTGTGCTTTTGCTTCTAATTGTATTGTATCATGTCTTCTTTCAAAACAACCTAAATGGATGTTTCTTTGCGAATCCAGAATGTTTCGTTGAACCGTTGTGAGATATATTACTTTCGTGATAATTAATGACTTTTTAAAAAGCCTTAACAATTGAATAAATATTTCTTAACGATCGTTTTGTTTTTACGCGAATACATTATACAATATAACTGTGTAATCAAGAGATCGTTTGTCGTCACATTTAAATACCTCCCTAAACGAAATCGTGCTGCGCATATCTATTAAATATAATCAAATATAATTACATATATAATTATATATATATATATATTAAATATAAATATATATATATATATATATATATATATATATATAATTAATATCTATATATTAAATATGTCAAATATTGAATTCGAATAATAATTGACCTGGGCTTTGATTCAAACCCCACGACGACCAAACCATACCAACCCAAAGCGCTCACTTCGATATCTCAAATGGTTTCACTTGCTGTGTTTCCAAAGCCAGCCAGCTTACTGGAGCTCCTGCCGAGTTGTCAAAGTTGTTGGCCGCGATTATTTTCGACTGTCACAGAGCAGAGAGGGGATTATGCGTGCAGACAGTTGGACCGGTCAATCAATGGGATTACAAGCCCGGTTGGGACGCATATGTATCCCGCATCGCTACATTTGTTTATCAACTTCTCGTGCCATTAGGGGAAGACCATTAAAGCGACTCATAAAACAGTTATTTTTAAGTGGGCAAACTCGGCTCATATATTTATAGGTTATCACTTATTTGCCAGAGTCAAAGGTATAAACTCTAACAGTGACAACTCTGTACATATTTTCTGTAAGGTGTTTGTTGATTATTAATTCATCCTCATCATCACTTCAAGTAGTGAGAGTGCACTGCTGGACATAGGCATTCCTCACAAACTACCAAAAAGCACGATCCTGAGCCACCTGCATCCATTTACTTCCCGCATTGCACAGGTCGTCGCTACATGTCGGAGGAGGTCGTCTTAAACTGTGGCCAGTAAGACGCTGCCAAAATCTATCTTCCCCGTCGGTTATTGGTTACGAGAGGTATACGAGCTATATAGCCAGCCCATTTCCACTGTAGCTTAATAATTTTTTGAACTATGACGTTTATCTTTGTTTTACTGCATATATCTTGGTTGCGAACTCTATCACGCAGAGAAATACCGAGCATTGCCCTCTCCATAGCTCGCTGAGCGACTTTGAGCTTCCCCATATGGCTAGCAGCGATAGACCAAATCATGTTTGCGTAGGTCATCACTGGCAATGGTTATTTTTTTCCCTTGTTAGTCAAAGTCAAAGTCAAAGTCAAATATCTTTATTCAATATAGAAGCATTCACTTACTTATTGATAGTCAAAAAACTCTACCACCGGTTCGGAAGGTAAGCCACTGACCTGAGAAGAACCGGCGTAAGAAACTCAGCGGGACATTATTTTTTTTTTACTTGCCAAAAAAATTACAAATATGTGTACAATTAAAAATCAACATCCGGTATAGGCGTGACCTGGACATAAGACATGATTTTCGTCTTGTCCAAGTTCTTCCTAAGGCCCTTGGGCCTTGAAGACCTTGATCTTCTAGCGATTTTGCCATAACGACTGTGTCTTTGGCACATCGAAGGTTGCTGATTTATTCCTCAATGATGTTAATACCACGTCCTTTCCAATTCAAAAGTTTCAAAACATCTTCCAATGAAGCGGCGATGAGTTTCGGGGATACGACATCCTTATCTTATATACTACCTTATCTATCACCCTTCTGCAGTTGGGCAGGATTTGTACAACTGGACTGTACTCAGAGGTTCTTGATACACCGACAGTTAATTTGGCATCGCTGAAGGGCCTGGAGTACCGTCTGAATTTCGTCTGAATCGAAGAGTTTCTCATAGTCCACATAAACTAGACTTACGGGCAAATTATAATCCTCGGTCTCCTGTACAATCTGCCGCGAAGTGTGTATGTAGTCTATGGTACTAAAGCCTTTATTTTTTCAATCTGCCTGATTTTGCATTGAAGTCATCACTAACAAGAATCTCATTACGTTATGTGCTGGGTTTTGAAGAATGTATGGCTTGTGATAAGATATATTACCTCTATCTAATCATCGGGTTGTCTCGACGCTAGCGCGTAGACCTGTATGGCCTTCAGTGAATATCGTTTGGATATTCTTAATATAAAGTACGCACTAACGTCGACATACCCTCGCTTTTAACAACCTTGTTAATTAGAGACTTGTGGACGATACATACGGCACCTCCTTGGGACAGTTGGTCCCAGCAGTAAACAGGTTGCCGGATTCGTATAATCCTATTATAACCCCAACGCAGTCTGTTTATCTCTTCTTCGAGCTATTTTATCCACCAGTTGTTCAGTCAGCGTCGTTGATAGTCGAATCCAAGCCGGAGATTCTTAGCACCCCCAGTCCTGTCGTTAGCATGCCCGCTACCGTAGTCAGGAATAGCAGGGCCGCCAAAATATTCGATCCCCCGTCCCCACTGGGGAAGCTATATTTTGAGTTTTAATCAAAGGGGGATTTTGCCGTCGTTGCCACGCCTGGGAAGCGGGTTGGCAACGGCCGTTTTTCCAGAGTCCCTGCAATTTAAACGCTGCTGCTCGTTATTGGCAATAGTATTAAGGATTTGGAAAGACTAGACGGTTAACCCGCCAGCTATCGCAGGCCACAAGTTGTCTGTGGCCTATCCATTAGTCGCCTCTTACGAGACCCACGGGAAGAGAGGGAGTGGCGCATTCTTACGCCGACACCACAAGTCAGATCATTACTTATTTACTCACTATCATTTTACCATTCGGTCACTGACCATTGTAAAGCAAAATAACGGCCTAGTATGTCGCACTGCTGGTCAAAGGCATCCTCTACTCAGAGAGTATATGGGACAACGTCCACCATGCATCCCTACTGCAGATTGCCAGACTTCATATAATTACTTACCCGAATATAAGCCAGTTCAAGTAAGAAACTTATCATGTTGAACCGTAATTTACGGCATGACCTTGAATTGCATGGCACGTATTTGACGGTTTAGTGACCGACTTCCAATCGTAATTCGAGGGTGCATATTCTAATCCGTGTGTGCACGGATGATATATGATATATTTTCGCTGTTTGGCTTGCTTAGGTGTGTCACTGTCTTGCTTTTGTCACTGTTGCATGATAAGCGCACTGCCTGACATTTTGGACTTTCCAACTGTGATAGTTGATACAATTAAAACTCTTTGATTTTAGAAGTTAGAACTTGGTTTGGAATAATATTTGCCACAACTTTTATCAATTTTCCATGTATTGAATTGCTTCGAAATATTCACCAATTATCAATAATTACATTACTAGCGTCCTGTTTGTAGATTTACGTTGGTATGTTTGTGAATATGAAAAGAGGATTGTTCTTTAGCGTGAGCCGTTTTTAGGATCCGATAAAGACATAATAAGAAAAATGACAGAAATAAGACATGACATGGGTGAGCCTCCAGCTCCTTTGCCGCTTTTTTCCCATAAAAAAAATAGACGCAGACACCCATTTGGGTAGGAGAATACAATCGCATGCCAATTCGCTTGTCAAAAGAACCCCCACTTCACACATTACTCGTCAGCGTTGCATGTCACTTATCCACTGCCCCAAGCCGCTTTAAAACTGGCCTGACCGTATATGTGTCTATCTAGTACGAGCACTTTAGAGGGCTCGTAAAGGCGTCTCGTAACAAATTATGAGCCAGCCAACGGTAGGACACCGAAGGGGTCAAATGCGGCTTTGTTTAAGAATGCCCGTTAAACAGGTGCCTCGTACGGCGGAGGGGCGAGGTGTGCACTAAAGCCGCCCATAAACCGCCACAATTACTTATATCGAATAAACCTCGACGACGCGAGATCTTTCGATGCAAAAACGCGCGTTCTCCCCTTACTGAATTCGCATTCGATACGTTTACGCATATCAGCTAAAAGTGCTCATTACAATTTTATTTTATTTTCTAAATAAATAAATATATTTTAGGATACATTTTTACACAACGTTCTCTTTTCCTAAACTAAGCAACGCTTGTACTATAAGCACTAGATCATTGATAAACATACTTAAACATACTTTTTAACCGACTTCCAAAGGAGGAGGTAATCAATTCGATCGGTATATTTTTTTTCGATGTATGTGTACCAATAACGCTAAGATTTACGATCCGATTTACGTCATTCTTCTTTAGTTTGAAGTTGCCATTTGGTCCCTTTTTAATTCAAGTAATTTGGCCCAGTAGTTTTTATCTTTTAAAAAGAAGAAATACACATTATACATATATAAATCACCCAAACACTAGAAAACACTATGTTCATCACAGAATATTTTTCTAGTAGTTGGGATCGAACCCACACCCTTTGGCGCAGGAGGCAGGTACACTACCCACTACGCCATTTGAGTCGTCATCGAACAAAAACGAACAAAAACTTTAAGTGATAATTTCTTGCATTTACGCGGTCTGTCTGTGAAAATTAAACGTGACCATGAAAACGCAATAGATCCGTAAAAATAGTTTCATTTATTAAACCTAAGCTTACTGTCGTAGGTATACAGGCGAATGTATAAATAATTTCTGCATAAACTCTATCCAGGCATCAATGAAATTGGGGCGCTTGTGAAAAAAGAATAATATACCAAACGTTTGTCTTACTTAATTATTTTCGTGTTTCGTTATTAAGAATTTCAGAATACATGCGATATTGGAACGATATGCAACGCGGACTCCTTAACGCGACTACACTCAGTAGAGCGGCGCGAGAACGCTCGTAAATCCCGCTCCCCCTTGTAATTTTAACCTAAAAGTGCGCCGTAAAACTGTTGTCAATTCTTTCCTTAACTCGAGCAGATTGACACACCGTCGAGGAGGGAATTGCGCGTCAAACTGCCATCCGACAACTAAGCTCCCAGATCGTTACCAGACCCGCGTCATCGTAATCTGCATACGGTAATCGAATGGCATTATATCGGAATTGGCTTCGACACTCCTTCATTCTAAAACAACTAATGGAGTCCGACGGGTTGTTAACAGTGATTTTTGAGTATGCGAAATCACACATGATTTAGATGCATTCGACGGTTTAGATGTTAAAACGAAACGATTATTTGGTTCTCAATCAGATCAACAGAGTTTAAATATCCATGATTTTTCTTCAATATTGAAAAATAATATTGTTAAAACCTGCCTTGTTTTTGGTATACTCCCAAAAATAATGAAAGAGTAAAGTCTGGCCTTATAATTCAGGTTTAAAATCATGGATCACATCAATAAAATTATGCGAAGCAATTAAATCTCGATTGTAATAAAAAGGTAACCAGCAATTCGTGTTTGTTAAGATAGAACAATGATACGTGTAGATTTGAAACTTGTATGCCATTTTCATGTTCTACAGAAAGATTCCCATAACACTGTAGATGTGTGACTTTTCCATGTCATTCGTGTTTATGGAACAGAAATTAATTGACAAATAAAAGTAATCATAATTATGATATTCGTTATGCTGCAATTGATCTTGTGCCTTCCTGTCTTTGGAATGGGTAGCAAAAAGTAACAATAAATGGGGATACAAATCCGACCCCGTCAGGTTACGTGGTGCAAGTGGGGGTTCCCCAGGGTTGCGTTTTGGGACCATTTTGTAAACGATTTACCTTAGGCGATTCGGAA